GGGCACTGGTTGTTCGGAGCAAATAAACACAGCAGAGTGTAAACACACAAATTTGACTCTTGGAACACGTTTTTAAATTGGGATACATGAAAATCCTGTTTGGCGAGAGCGCTGTTCAGAACTCACATTATTCACTCCGCATGCTGTTAAAGGGGTCACCGGGGTCAAATGATCGGTTTGTGGCCATTAGATTGGAGTATCAGAAGTCTTTTATAGAAATACTGAGGAAGAATATCAGTCCTGCTTTCATCGACATGATATGCAAACAAAAATAGAATTGGCTTAGTGTTCACCAAGAGCCTCCTCTGATTTCCAAATGTTTAAATAAACATGAAGCGCATGCCACAGTTGCAACCGTTTGGCAAGACGCGCAGTGCCAAAAGCAATAGAAACATTCCATTGTTTTTACTCCCCCATTAAAATATCTGAACATGTTTGAAGCAATAGAAAATATGTTCGAACTTTTGATTAGGCCTAAAAAGGAAAGAGAACAAATTGACTAATTAGCAGCTCGACTGCATTTCTAAACAAACCGGCGTCTACGCTTGTTTGAGTTAACGATGAAATTCAAGCATCTCTGTAGGTTTGGATCAATATTACATGTTAAAAAACACTTCTACAGGATCTTAGGAGTAAATACTGTCCGTCTAGGAGCAGTGGGGATGCTGGAAACCCAGTGGTAACCTTGTGAATAAAATATATGTTAACATATCTGCATTCACGTAAGACAGTCGAGTTGTTGCTACATCGCTTCAAAGTTGGCCATCCTTTAGTCACATCAACCAGAAAGCATCATCGTATTGACAGTTAAGGGACAATGAAATGCTCTGAAGGAAAAACTGCCACTTCTAGCCAAAACAACATTTCAATCATGCTGCATGTAATCCAAAGCCCAGCATGGGGAGGATCACCCTCAAACATAATAGGTTCCCTCGGCTATCAAGACATCAAATCTGCTTTTAGTGGGTCTTGATAGAATGGTATCAGTACAAGCTGATGCAACTCGCTGGGGAATTATGAAACTACGCTCAGCTTCATCTGCCCAATGAAAATTTCATCAGCGGGAGTCTTTTCCAGGCCAGGATGGGACGAGTCTGAACGGCACCGATGCAGCTCTGTGGCTGTGCCATGGAAACAGATTACACAACATGCAGCACAGACAAACACAGCACAGTCAAATGACATAAAAACACAGTTGTAGAGGAGCCAGTGGTGAATAATTTAATTCATGTTGGGGTCAGTGTCACATATAATCCATCTTACAGTGATTCACGGGGATGAAGTGTAAGTGAAATGAATGGTATAAATCCCTTTTTAATAAATAATAGCTTAATGTGCGATTCTCCTCCGAAAAATGAACAATATCAAACGTGTGAGTTTGAAATAATACTTTTATCTGGCAAAATGTCTTCGAGTCAGCATGAAAACTTTCTTCCGAGCTTGAGACCTTGTGAGTCAAGGTGTGCTAGCTGGCAGAGAGCTGTAGGTTATCACTGCTGCTCTGCTCGGGAGCCTGATAAATTATCAAATACATCTACATGCTGCAAAGTACAGCCTGCAACTGTTCCCATCCCTTACACCCCAGCACTCCTCAAAGTAGGGTCAGAAACCCTTGGGGTCCTAGATTTCCCATTTCCCAACATTTTTTATCTAGCACAGCACTATATTTTATTAAGAAGGACAGAATTTTAGTTTCCACTCCCCAAACTGTTACCCCATCACTTGAAAGTGCTCTTTTGTGCTCAATTAGAGCTAAAACTGGCTTTTATTTTCAGAGTCAGATTCCCATGTCAGGCGCGCTGCTGCTGACTAGGCTGTGCCGTGTTCACTGTCCCCATTTCTCAGTATTAAAATCTACATACAGCAGCCATCCTTTGTCCTACAAACACCATACATTTTTAAGCAATCAAATATGATCTCTGTCTTTCTGCCTCCAAAGGTGGACTGAGCTGTTGAAATATAAATGCACCCTCGCGCTGCCTCATTTTAGGCATCCGGCTGCAGCATCCAGGATTCTGAGACAGCCTCCTGTAGGAAGTGCAGTCAATGGGGATGTTAGACACACACTTCCATTATAAATGGGGATTTTTGGATTCACATGTTGCTCCCAGGCATATCTGACCCCTTCTTTGTAAAAGAGCTTTGTCTTATTCAGACACTATCTCCCACCTGTGAGGTGATGAGTCTGTTTTTAGACTCACATGCAGATGCCACCAGAGGGAGAGAGAATCGCTAAAATCTAGCAATGTTATGTAAATGAGAAAGGGTTAAACTTTCGGTTTCATTTTATTCATCATGTGCAGAGGCAAAATGGTAATATGTGAGAGAGCCGTAACATGTGGCGATATCTGTAATGGGCAGCTAACCACTGCCATACAATGTTCTGTAGCATACACTCACATAATAGCGCAGTTATTACCATGCTGTAGACGACAGACCAAAAAAAAAAAGGTAAGACTGCAGCTGCTTCCATTGAGGTGGAGCATACTGGCATGGTTAAAGTCCCTATATAATGATAACAATCATAATGCTCCACAGAAACAGTTATTTTATCACATTTGCTCCCAGATCAAAACATTCCTGGTTACAGCTCATTTCTACTGCACGGCCAGTCTCGCGCCTGAGTCAGGCATCTGTAATGAAACGTTCTATACTGATGGGAGGGGTTTCTGAATAACAATTACTCCCTCCATAGGAGCAGGAGGGGTCACTGAGTGGTTTGATGAGTGTGAAAATGACTTGAGTCTCAATCCATTTGAACGCCCATGGGAGATTTTGGAGTGACATGTTGGACCCAGCTGTCTACTATTATCAGAGCAACAAACGAGTTGTTGTGGCGGCCCATCGTCTTAGCAATTCACACTTTATGTTGATTTGTCCTCCGGCTTGTAAAATTGGAATTATGCTTCTCTTTGCTGCAGGTAGGTGAGAGTGCATGGGGTTTACTTGGGCACTTTTCTTTTAAGTTTGTATGTTGAGCGGTTTTGTTTGTTTTCATCTCTATTATAGCCAAACGCTGTCAGGAGCTGAATTAAACCATCAGCTTCCTGCAGGATTCATTGAGATTTCGCTGCTCTGAGAGTCCCTGCAACCAAAGGTTACCCATAGTGTCGTGCATTGTTGGTAAAGCAAAACTCAACTTCTCAGCAACACCGAAAATAGTCCCAGAATTCTAGATGCAGGAAAACAAAGTGTCTTAGGATGGTGTTGCCACCACGTGCTGCCAAAACAGCATCAGTGCATCTTCACATTGATTCTTCAAATGTCTGGAACTTTACTGGAGGGGTGAAAAACCATTCTTCCCAAAGATGTGTTGGACGAATGATGGTAAGTGCTGGTTAAAAGTCCAAAATCTCTCACAGGTGTTCAACTGGGTTGTGATCTGATGTCTGTGAAGGTCAGAGCAGATGATTCACATCATTTTCAACCCATTCAGAGTCCCATTGTGGCCTACTGATGAAAGCATTCTCATCTGGGAAGATAACACTTCCATCAGGATGGAAATGTTTCATCACAGGATAAAGGTGATCGCTCAGAAAAACACGTCATGATTTGCAGAGGTCGACTCAAACCACACCGGCAGAATGCCCCCTACAGCATAACAGATGGTCAAGGGCTCTGGTTTTTCCTTTAATTTGTCACCTGTCTGTGTTTAAAGGGCACCTAAAGTGGGTGCTGACCATTTGTCTAACTTTCAGAAAGCAACAATCTGACACAGGACAGCCATGGATCAGGTGGTAGAACAGATGATCCTTGGAAGGAAAGGCTGGTGCCCGTTTTTTCTTGGGCAAGACACTGAACTTCAAGTTTCCGGTGAGCACCTTTGCATAGCAGCTCTACTGAAATCGGTTTGATTCAGTGATTGAAAAACCCAATTCTGGTTAAATGACACTATTTCTTTGCTCCGTGAGCGGTCCGCTGTGTGAACGTGAGGAACCATACTGAGTTTGAAAATCTAACTTCAGCTCACTTTTTGTTTTATTATACTACTATTTAGAACACTGTTGTCGCGAACAACCAAATGCAACACTTTGAACGCCCTCCAAAAAGAGAGCGTCTGAAACTGCGCGCCCCTTATCTCCATATTCAAATCGTCTCCTACGACACCTGGCTCCTCGCTCTGCCAGTGTGGCCATTTGGAGCCGCTATGGTTGATTTCCAGCGGTCAGACATCACATCACCTTTCTTTTGTAGTATAACCCGGACCTTGGTCTCTAGAAAGAAAGCCTGTTTATGGACTGAAATTCAGGCTGAGATTTTGAGCCCCGAGCTAATAACGCCGTCAGGGTTGTCTCACCTTGTAGCGGAATTTGATGCCCTTTTACTGCCCCTTTAATCTCCTCTGGTACCGGTGTTTGTTTTGTTGCTGCAATATTTCTACCAGAACTTCTAATGGTGTGATACTTAGGGCTGATGTTATGATGGCCTTGGCAGGCTTTTTCTGCTGCCAGTACAATGTGTCTCTTTGTAGCTGAAGTATCTCTGCAGTTTGCTGTATGTCTGTTTTTTTCTCCAAACATGCAGTCCTGTAGCATGTTATAACAATTTAACATTATTATTTAGTAGATAGGGACTTTTTAGTCAGTAGATGTTTGATTGTGATAGTGTTATAGCAATTTTTTTATGAAGCTGAGCACCTGGACACATATATTCACACACTGTTATAAGCAATAATACTGCAAATCCAAATATAAATTCAGCATTTGTAGCTGAGAGCAAATGATTAGATCGGGATTATTGTGCTCAAGTGAAGTGCATCTCTGCTGAGGCTGAGGATTGCAGAGTCTCAGTGAGGAGAGCACCTTGCCCTGATCATCTGACGGCAGACGGCTCCTCCCCGCTCCCTCCTGTCTGCTACGCAAAGCGGAGGCTTGGACACAACTCTGCCCGCGTTTCTCCACACAGGCTCGTCTGCGTGCGCCGGAGACGGAGTCGAGTTATCCACTTTGACTAAACAAGGACTCCGTTCCTCCCTGGTGTCTGCTTTCCAATGAATCAGTGATGAGAGTGGCCGACAGGAGAGACGGACGCTTCTCTTCTTTTGTGGACCGGCGGTGCGCAAAAGTGCGCTCCGTGGCTCAGCATCATCTTCATCCTCCGCTCCTGAGATCAACCCGAACCCAAGAGGCGCGCTGAGATCCTCACCGAAGCCCCCCGTGCGAGGTAACCACATTTTCTCTCAACATTTCCTCCTACTTTGTGTGTGTGTGAAGCCCTCCTCAGCATACGGAGGCTCACACACACACACACACACACATGCTTTTTTTTATGCAACACTTGAACCTCCAGCGGCTGACAAAAGGATGTTTTATTCCTCTGAATTCATGGGGCGATTAATTTTATCAATTATTAAGCTAGAATAAATCCAGTTATCGCCTCGCAGCAAAGCTGAATCTGACATTTTGGAACATGATCATTCACTCATGTGAAATGAGAGCCTTGTCTTTTCCCTGCAGTTCACATTTAAATCTTCTGTAATAGAGTATTGATCAAACTAATTAAAATGCTACATCCAATAAATTAGCTTTATAAGCTCCCAGGAGCACACTCTTCTGTATATCCTATGGGCTGTGACATATAAAATCAGCTTCCAATTAACTCTTTTAATTCATTAAAAGTTTTGACAGAATTTTTAAAAAGTTGAAAATTGGAGACGTTCACAGAAGTTTTGGTGGCTGAGAACTGAAACATCTCACGCTCTTGATGTAGAAACATGAGATCAAGTCACTGGTTGGAGTCAATCAGACAAGAGCAGCTAATGATAATTGCCACTCTCCTGTTCTTGGTGAAATGTAGCCTTGATGTAGCTTTGTTTTCCCCTCAGCATCACAGCCCCTATATCTGCCACCACATCTACCCAAGTGAAATTCCAGCAGCCACATATTAACGTCACAGGATGCAAATTGCCACAGGCTGTGCAATTCACCTTTGATTATGAGCATGTGGGTGTTGGCTTATGTGAGCCGGTGCTTCTAGCTGCAGGATTTCTCAAAGGCATAAGCCGCTATTTGACTGGAATAAGTTCTCTGATGAAATTTAAATGAAACGTACTGTTTTACAGCTGCAGCCTCTTCCCATCCCATGGCTGAAAGTGGGCTTTAATTGGTCTATATTTAAAACAGGTTCAATCTTTTACAGTCTTTTAGTCATAGGCTGCACAGCCATGCTCCTGAAAGTGATGTGGGGGTGTTAATGTTCTGACAATTACTTTACCGCTCATTACATTGAGAGGTGCAGTATGTGTATGTTTCTCTTTAGGTTTTCTCATCTGCATATGACTGTACTTTACTAGGGAAATTCATTTATTTAGTTTATAGGATGCATAAGATCTTGAGAATCTGTGCAAAACATATCAATTAAATGTAGTAATACAATCAAAGGGTGGTAAAAATAAATAAATAAAAGCAATATAATTATAACTAACAGGAGATTCCACTAGTTAGAAAGTAAAATGGTCAGAAAACTGGGAAGCAGGCTGGAAACAAAAAGGGCAAAAGGTCCACATGAAAGAGGGGTCACCCTCATTATTTTCATACCCGACTAATCAACATGAATGAGGCGACTGTATCTGGAGCTAAACTGGAACAGAGACTTTGTTTGCTTCATTTTCTGCCAGAACCAAATGGGTAACTAAAGGTGAGCCGGATGGTCTGTGAGATCATCCTGACAGTAAGTGTTTACGAGGCTGGTTGTAAAAGACAATAGTGGTTTGGGGAGGTGTTATGATTTCTAAATCCCTAAAGAAAACTCAAGGTGTCTCGGTGATATATTGCCGGACAAACACACAGGGTCAGTGTATGTTACACCGCGGAGCGAGCAGAGTTTCACGTGGGTTGGATGGAGAAAGAAGGAGGAGGAGGTGGAGAGAGAAACAGTTTCTCGTGTACAATTTCCTGTTATTAGGTTTTTGTTTGATGGAGTTTATCCAGTTGGCTCCACTCGAGCAAACAGGGGGGTGGAAGAGAGGAACAACAAAACAAAAGTGCATTCTCTTTTCCTCAAGTTTTCCTAATCAAGAGCAATAGAAAGTAACAAGAGAATGGAATTAATATTTGATGAGGTTATGTTTGCTGAATTAAAGGATGAAAACCATTAGCTGAGGCATATGGGATATTTGTTAAAAATGCAAATGAGTTCCAGAGTATTTCTCTTTTTGTGGTTGTGGGGGTTGGCTGATTTTCCCGCAAGAGATAAAAGAGCTTTCATGAAGGAATCAGCATTTTTCTGCTGTGAGATGTGCACCGTGCAGTCTCAAGGCTAGAGAATATGTACTTAAACCTTCCTTTTGTATATATGTTCATTCAGTTTATTATGTAGATTGGTTAGTTATTTCACTGTGGTGGTAGCATCTTTACCAAACACTAATTTGATTGGTGCGTCCATCATCTATTTGGCAGTTTGGAACATCACTGTAACGTCATATAACTAATTCAAGGCTGTTGTCTTTTAACCTTAACTAGGTTCTACAAAGCCCTTCACAGTGTATTTCTCCTTCACCCATACACTCAACAATGGTAGCAGGGCTGCCTTGTGAGGACACAGCTGCCATCAGGAGCATCTTTAAGTCCTCTGTTTTGCCCAAGGTCTCGCACAACGCAATATCAAGGCTTTAAATTCTGTATTGAAGCAACACACGAGCTCTGTATGCACACACAGCACAAGCTTTACTGTAAATATGAATATAAACATGACTTAGCTGCGGCCGTTAGCAGAAGGCTAAAGTAGAAGTAAATCTACACTCAAGCTCAAGAACCACTACAGCACAGTGAGATGAACGGCAGAGTGCAGTAGTTAGTGGACGTCAGATGTTATGCTTCTCCAGATGAGTCAATTTTCCTTTTTTTTGTGTGTTTTTTTGGTTGTGTTGCAGTGTAGGCGGTTGTTGCCAAAGCTAGAATAGTAACTTTTCCCGGTGGATTGTGTGCAACTGAATCAGGCTTTACACCATCTCAAGCACATCTGCATTTTTACGAGCAGCCAATAGGAATTCTCTCTAAAAACAACCAAAAAACAGTGACTGGAAGTTTGCCATGACAGACCAGATTTCCTAAAGCCTGAACATGGAGCCAAGAGGTGGTGCTGACCTCTCAGACCACTTGAACTACAAGATGCTGAGAAAGTTCGAATTTTGACGCCAACAAACAAATACTGCCTACCCCGGCTTTATTGAATTTGCATGTTGAGTAACGCATTTGTGTTTCCAGTCCTGGAGTTACATGCTGACATCTGAGGTCACAGAACTTTCCACTGCAGAGTTTCTAACTAACCTTCTTTCCTGGCACAGTGTGAGAAAAACAGCTCTGAGTGTGCTGCTAATGACTCATCAGGTGTGGAAATAACACGCATTGAAAGTAACGCCAGGAGAGAATCACTGCTAATGTCTGCAGCCTGAGCTAACTATAGCAGGCTAGTCCGTTTAGCTCGATTTCTTCCGGTTTCACAGTGGAATACACACCCAGCAGAACGATTAGTCTTTGCAAATGTTTAATGTTGTAAAGTGCTTGTTTGTGCCGGTGTAGAGCGTCACAAAATTGACAGTGCAACTCCTTAAAGTGCAGCTCTGGCGCTCAAATGACTTCTTTCCACCTACTGCCTGAAGCTTTGTCAACAATTAGGCCCCAAAAGGATTTATTTTAAATATATATATAGACACAACACAACATAAAAGCAACATATAGTGAGGAACATGTAATTATAAGTTTGACTTCTCTAGTCAAAAGTCTGTGGGACAGTATGAAGAAGTGGTTTCCTATTGTAACCATAGAGACTGAGAATCATTATTTCCTGTGCAGCCATTTAATAGAAGCTGTCAGCTGTCATGTGCTTGATGATTGACTTTGATCCGAGCTAATGATCGCTCTGTTCATCTCGGAGCCTCGGTAGTTATTCGTCATGCTCTCAGCCATAGCCAGAGCGTATGCATGATTTCAAAACCGAGCCGTTTGACCGGAGAGATTCTCAACTCCGCCGGCTTCTTGATTTTGGATATTTACACCGCTGTGATTAGGTCACTCGACTACAATCACTCATCCGGCATTGTGATGGTAATGTCATACAGAGGCTGATTTTTTTTGTGTGTGCCTGTAGAGTTGGCTGGATCCCCTGTCTGCCTCCCCCGTGGACTGATTACTGATCAGACTAGCATTTCATATCAGCCTTGTGGGGGGAAATTAGAGGATTAGCAACAACTTCATGCTTATTCCCTACATATCTTCCAGGCCTCCAAATCCTGTGGAAGCCATTGTTATTTTAAGTAGCTTGGCAATTGAGCGTGGAGGCAAGCTCTAATTCTCCCAAGTCTTCGGAGATGCGGCGCGGCAGAAAGCTAGCGTTTTGGAGCTACCTCCCCTCGCTATTCATGTTCTTTCATGATGTAAGAGTGAGCGACTGAGAGAGGGCCTTGTAGCTTGCTGCCAGGACCTCTTCACTCCAATCCTTGGTTCATACATAATAGATAAGTCACTGTAACTTACAGTACAGGGGCATAACTAGGCTAATGCCCGGATTTGCATATTTGTGCCGAATTCCATAATTCATGAGCGCGCAGCAGGCAGCGATCCAGGGTGCAAGGAGCCACCTTGGTCCACATGATGAACACCATACATCAGCTCCTTGTGCGCCAACAACATGGAAATTAAAGGCAAGCGCGGAAGCTGTCTTTACCGCGCACTCGGGAGCCGCATCTTCATCATCAAAAGAGTCTGAGCTCAGCCTTTGGGAAAGCCTTATTAGAGGCGCGCAGAATCTGATGACAGAATCAGACAACAGGCTTTTTCCTGCTAGATTTACTGCCGTTCTGAAATAATGGGACAGGGTATGAGTGGGTGAAAGAGGAGACAGCAGAGGGCGGTGACACCTTCTATTGAACAGATTTCACGAGCCACTTTTTCATCAAGAGGTTCAAGAAAGCCTGACGCTGCCATCACCGGCAAGTGATATGAAGTAGATTTATCATTCCACTTGATGACGGGCTAAGTTATTTATTCATTACCTTTGTTCTCTGCCTGCCTGGGATGAGTAGGCACATGCCAGGCACATCCCTCATTATTAAGGATCGTGTGTCATACATCCCTTTTATATATATATATAAAAATATAAATATATACTTATTATAATTGTTATTAATCTTGTATACTTTGTTATTCCCTGACTGTCTGTGCTTC